AGAGACCAACAAAACTCCTTGTAGCACCAAAGATGAACTGAAGACAAGAATTATGGCAGCATTCAACAACTTAAACAAGGAGACCGTCCAGAAGAGTTGCAGGAGATACCGAAGTTGTCTGAAGGCCGTGTTTGAAATCAATGGCGATTTTATTGAAGAAATTTACTATTTAGTATTTCAAGGTATTTTTGTGTAATTTTGGTAAATATATCTGTTAAAACGAGACGTAGGTGTTATTTTCATTTTGGCGTCATTTAGACGACAATTTATCCATCGCAGCCTGTATATCTGTAAATGAGATCAGTGTTATTTTCCTTTATGCGTCATTTAGACGACGATTTATCCCTCGCACTGTATATCTGTAAATGAGATCAGTGTTATTTTCCTTTATGCGTCATTTAGACGCCGATTTATCCCTCGCACTGTATATCTGTAAATGAGATCAGTGTTATTTTCCTTTATGCGTCATTTAGACGACGATTTATCCCTCGCACTGTATATCTGTAAATGAGATCAGTGTTATTTTCCTTTATGCGTCATTTAGACGCCGATTTATCCCTCGCACTGTATATCTGTAAATGAGATCAGTGTTATTTTCCTTTATGCGTCATTTAGACGACAATTTATCCCTCGCACTCTATATCTGTAAATGAGATCAGTGTTATTTTCATGCGTCATTTAGACGACAATTTATCCCTCGCACTGTATATCTGTAAATGAGATCCAGTGTTATTTTCCTTTATGCGTCATTTAGACGACAATTTATCCATCGCACCCTGCATGTTTGTTGTGTCATTTTCATTTGGCGTCATTTAGACGGCAATTTATCGCTCGCACCCTGCATACCTGTTAAAATGAGATGCCAGTGTTATCTTCATTTTTGGTGTCATTTAGACGACAATTTATCCATCGTGCCCTGTATAATTGGATTGATATGACGTAGCACTTCAGCATTTTTAATGCGCAGACGGAATGAAACATTACATTGTTGAATTCTTTTTCCGTGTGCCGTGTCCCTTCAGGTGATCATGGCTCTCCACAATTTCCCGTCCGTTGTAGTACATTTTTCGCTTTTTTGCCATCTTTCCCAAACCCTGCACCCCGTCATCCATTGACGTCATTCATAGGTGTTGCTTTTCTCTGTCTTAATAATGTCCTACGTATTCATGAGGATTGCGGCATACCCATTAGTGTTCGTAGGTACGGTATATAACAGTAACTATTCACATTGTTCGGACTGTTGACCACATCTTTAATCACCTGAAGAAGACCGGAAAGTGCAACTGTCGAAACGTCGTGAACATGACAATAAAGATGAGGACAACAGTCCGAACAATGTAAATAATCCCATTTCTGCTGTTTGAAGTTTCTTTATCGGTAAGGAGATTGTCGAGCATTCACTGTCGCGTAGGATTTGATATTCCATAACATTTCAGTACTCTTTTCTTTGTTTCTGACGAAATTTTTCTGTTTCCTTATACTTTATCTCAGCTTTTCGAAGGCATCTTTCATTATCCAAATGCACTTTCGAATTTCCGTGTCGAACTTTCTGTCCTCTGTTAAAAAAAAGAACCTTCCCAGAGATCTAAATTGTTACACCTGTTTGATCTCAGTATCTCCAATTTGTATTAGGTTGGTGCAAAAATAATGACGTAATAATGCCGTTTTTTGACGTTAAAAAATACGTCAAAAAATGACATTATTACGGCATTATTTTTGCACCAGCCTAATAATTTGCATGTTGGGCTGTTCCCTTTTGCAAACAACCACGCAATCGCTCTTCTTGCAACGGGTGCTTAGTCCTTTCTTCTCCTTTTCCTTAATTACATTCTACACAATAAAGAATGAGACTTTATTGAGCAAGCTTGCGTACTAAGTAAGTATTGCATTAAAAATAACGTCTATAATAGTCATTTAAAATTTATTTTTACCATTGCATTACCGAAATTTGTCAGTTTTCGTACAGTATAACTTGGGCTTGTTACGATCTCTTGTTTTTGCTACATCTACAAGAATTATTGAAAGAGAAGTGATATTTAAACGTGGCTATGGATTACACCGAACGCGATATGACAGCTGATGTCTATCCCGGGCGAATCTTCTTGACTATCTTCAAAAGTTGGAAGAACGCAGAGTGTAAGATCTGTAGTTGAGTACAGTGTCAGGGACTAATGTGGCGCCACCCTAGAAAGACTACGTTTTGGTTAATATTGAATTAACTCAGTCTCCAGACTAACATTTTACTAGAGTGTAAACTGGATCTTTGTTTATCTTTTTTGACTCAAGTGTAAATTTGTCGTATGCCGAGAGTTTTTAACTCTAGTGTATCATGAAACCCACAAACTCAACCTATCGGGAAACCCATAAACTCAACCTATCGGGAAACCCTTAAATTTAACCTATCGAATCACATTTCAATCGAAATGTGTTATTCTTCAGTGTGTTAATTTTGTTTTTATTTAAGTTTTTTCAGAACAATCAGGCTAATGAAAGAACTCGC